ACGTAAACTGAAAACAAAAGCAAAACCATTTAAGTGTTACATTAAGGGCACACCAAACTGATGGTCAACCATTGGTCTTTGTCAGTCAGCAACACGTCAATTCAGCAAGTTGGTTTGGTGTGTTCCACATGTTGCCTCTCATCTGGTTAACGCCAGAGCTCATTGGCTCAATTCAGCATGTCAAATCTGTGTCTGCAATGAAACAGGGCACGAAATTGAAGTAGTGAAGTGACATAGCAAGTAAACAATTGAAGTTCAGAAAGAACACAAAGAAGACAGTAATTATATTTGCAAATGATATGGATTATTAGATTATCAGAAATATTTGCTGGAGCGAATTCCTCTGTAGTGAGTGAGAGTTTTGGTGATAATGGTATGCTGTTTTGTTTACACTTTGCAAGTACATCTGAACTTACGGTTCTGCCATTCGGAACCAAAAAACAGATACTGCCCTCCGCAGTGAGAAAGACGCGTCTCGCAAAGGTGCAGAATGCATGCTCTTGAATCAGTCAGCTGCCATCTGTTTAGTGTGTTCACAGGCAGCTTTTTTGTCCAGATGTGAACCAACGCAAGGTGACAACACAGTTGTGCTAGTTGTTTGGTATCGGCTTGGTGTGTACCGGCCCTAAGTCACACAGGCTTTCTTCATTTTGGTAAATAATGTCTGTCTATCCGTCTACACCAAATGTAACCTTGTGTTAACTTCACACAACAGGTAAAGACTACTACATTAGACTCAGATTTGAAATCACATAGTAATAATCACTGTCTAATATGTGGTTTATTTTCTTCAGATGTATCACATGAGTGTATAGTGTACAGCTTAAGTCCAGTGCCAGGTCCTTAACTGTGTACTCACACTAGGCATGGTTGCCTTGAAACTTGCAGGGTGCAATTGTCTCTCACCCTCAGCCTGCACTCACACTGCAATTTTATCTTTCGAGCCTGAGCACGCTTGCATCATCGATGATTGACTGTTCAATTAGGAAGATCTCCATTGTACTGCAATCTCCATTATACTCTTCTCAGTACAATGGAGATTGCTGTAGTTATATTGTTTTGTTTTAAGTCGTTTGGGATGTGATGACAGTCAAATATTTTGCTGAAAAGATCCACCACTTTTGACACTCAGTTTTATGAAATTCCTATTGCTACATGTATTAGGATGTTTGCTGAAGGTGGCAGCTGAGGTGCAGTGATCTAGTTATCTTTCAAAAACTATGACAGTTCCCATTCACTCACACTACAAGCATACCACAAAGACCAACTGAACCACATTCTGGCACACCTCTTCCAACCGGGCAAGGGCTGGCCAACTAAACCGTGCCTGGGCGTGATTCGGGGCACTCGCACTTGTCAAATGCCTAGTGTGAGTACACCCAATAATAGTTGAGTTGGTTTGTGGAGTATACTATAGAAATTAAAAGAAAAATAAAGGTGGGAGCTGGTGCATCATATGGCATATTTATCATATGCACCTGCTTAATAAAGCAGCCCCTAAATAGTGTTCTTCTATTCTATTATTCTATTCACACTAAAGATCAGTGTCTGACATAAGTTACAGGAACTATGAAAACATTCTTCAAGAAGATAAACCCTTAATGTGACGTGACTTTAGAAGTCATTGATAGTTCTCGATTAGTTCAAGACTAGTTCAAGTGTTTTTAAGACCTTATTCTTGGCATGGACTTCCAAACATTTGGATTTGGTTTTGACTTGGTCACAAGCATAGGAGAAAAATGTCTTTTTTCACTCTCACCTCAGCTTTTACCTCACGTTCCCATTAAAAACATCCAGACCCTTGCTCTCCGATAGCATTTGCTATGCGTATGTTGGTCTGATACCTTTCTGGTGAACATTTCCATTGTTCTAAGTCATTTATTCTCTCGGTGTGGTGCGGAATGCCAGAGGGGGGCACTCACTGGTGAGCCTGTTTAGCATTAACGTTTGAGGTTATTCTAAGTGCTTCTTATTTCAGCATTCTTAAAGTTTTCCTTGCTTTATAAACTCTGAGGGGGGGTTCTCGAGTCCGGATGTCACAGAGTCCTGCTGCTGTTAAAATAATAAACACAGCAAAGACCACATACAACAAAGGAATAGCTAAAATAGCCACATTTGTGCATTCTTAATAGAGCACGTGTGCGCTGTAAGATGGTTTATTATTGGACCGATTGGCACTTGAATATAACAGCTGGTGATAAAACTTGCATGTACAGTATAATCAGTCAAGATTTGTTGTCCATTCAAGCTTAAAGTTGACCTTTTAAAATGTTACTAATGACATCATGTAACGATATAAATATATGCCTGTGTATGGATAATATCTCCCCAGAGAGGATCATGTTTGATGAGTAATAGACATACCTAGAAAGTAAATAATGAACAAGTCGTGATCAACTTTGGGGTAAAGGCTCAAATAGCAGATAAGTGGCTTACTAGAAGATAAAGCGGCATTACATATCACCTCAGGAATGTATTTTACTTTACTTTACTTTAGACCAAACCCCCTATTTGGCTACACATTTCCTGAAATCAGATTTTCATGACAGAATTTTTTACGATTAACTTACATCAAGTTTGGCTCTAGAGGTAAAATGTTAACGTGGAACGCTTATGACATGCCCCCCTTGCTGATTTAGAAAGGTGAACATGCCATTCTCATTTGGTCATTGAAGGGTAAAACATAACAAATAATGTATTTTGGCACTGTAGTTTGTGCAGTTCTTTTGTTTTAGGAAGTGCTCGAGGGATTTTTGAGCCCTGCACATATACCCAATTATCCAAAGCTTAACACAGCTCTTCTGGACTGTTTGTGCAGACAGTTACTTTGTAGGTGGTTAAGTCAGACCTGATTTTTCCATGCAGTCAAGATCCATCTTATCTACACAGATTATTAATGTCTAGGCAAATTGTGGTTTTAAAAGTGTGCAAGCTGACATTATCAAGTATTTTGCTCACTTTGTAAAAAAAAAACAAAAAAAACAAAAAAAACAAAAAAACACACCTTAAGTCTGCATGTTAACTACATGATGTAGCCTGTTAGAATGTAACTGGCATGCCAATGTAAACTAAGCCAGAGTAGAAACACATTGAATGCGTTTCTCACAGCAACATACCAGGGTGTTTTATTACTAAATGAATCCTCTTACTTTCCTTCAGCTTATATACATAAATACTTGTGTATAAATGTTCATTACTAATCATTCTATAAACAGGATTTGATTATAACTGCAGATCAAAGACAGTTGGAAATAGTCTACTGTAACGTCTGCAATTATATAAAATAAATTAATTAATGCAACAATATATGAACACACAGACCCTTATATTCTCTGATATGCTACCAATTAAAGAACAACAACACACAGCATAGATTTAGTACTTGTTTGGGTTTAAAAACAACCCGCAACATACAGCCAAGTCAGTGCAAACCTCTCATCGGTATCTTTAATCTTCGTCAGCACACGTAACCTCCGTTAGAAAGTGATTCCATCAGTCTGAGTTCATAACAGTCCAAAAGGTGATGATAATAGTTAAACAGGGCAATTTGTTCATGTTTTAGGTTTCTAAAGAATCCTTTGCTCCATTGTTTTTTCCGGCTTCTCCTTCATTTTTTCACATTATTATCATCAGCTTAAGCTATTTATTATTTTAAATATAAACGCGCGGTGGGCGTCAAGCAAGAAAGCCCAAACTTTAGACGGCCTTGTGAACAACTACAGTGCACAGAGTAGTTCTGCTCTTCTTCTTGGCTTTATGGCTGTTCATTAAGACGATAACAAGCTTTGTTTAAGCTTGGGATGACCATGGCTTGCTATTCATTAATTTTCTTTTCAGCTTAGTCCCATTATTGATTTGGGGTCACCACAGAGGAATGAACCGCCAACTTATCCGAGACATGTTTTACGCAGCAGATGCCCATCCAGCTGCAACCCATCACTGGGAAACATCCATACACACTTATTCACACAAACATAAACAGTGGTCAATTTTAACATAACCAATTCCACTATACCACATGTCTTTATACTTGTGGGGGAAACCGGAGCACCTGAAGGAAACCCACACGAACACTGCAAGAACATGCAAACTCCACACAGAAATGCCAACTGACCCCGACGAGACTAACCAGTGACCTTCTTGCTGTGAGTCGATAGTGCAACCCACTGCACCATTGCATCCCCCCTGGCTCATTGTTATAAGAATATATTATTGCGGTGTAATGTCATAGTTGTGTTTTTAAACACAACCAAGTTGTGCGGTTTCTTTGTTTTCATTCTCCTGGCTTGTTGCACGAGGTAGTGACGTATCTCTGTAACACAATTCAGGAAACAGTCAAAAAAATGTACTGAACCGTACTGTACTGTACAACTCAGTGGAAATGGGCCACAATAAGTCACTGTAGGTTTTTTTCAGGGGTCACTGCAGCAGAATGAACCACCAGTTTTTCTGGTGTATGCTTTGTGGCGTTTGCACTTCTAGCCACAACCCAGCACTGAGAGTACAGTAATTTGTGAATCCCCAGGGGGAAGCACTCATACACTTACTTGTTCACACACAGTCGTTTATTCACACGCACACACTCATACACTATGGCCAATATAGTTTATTAAAGAAATGCTTCTTGTCATATTAGTACATGCTCCAGTATCCACCCCCCACAAAAAAAGTTTATTTATTTGTTTATTTAGTTTTGTTTTTCCATAAAGTCTCTCAAAAGTAATGGACCAAAAGTTTGGCATGTCTTGTGACATTGTGTCATGGTAAATCATTTTTTCCATTTCTGTGTATTACATACTGTATTCTTGCAAGCATTGTGTTTGAAATAGGTTTCTTTGTTTATTATTTACTATTTAAGCATGTGTTTTTAAAGTTAAAGTTTCAATAATTCTGAAAAAATGCTAGACGTTTCTGAATATTTATGTATGACATTACATATTTGTTGACACAGATAAAAAAAACTATTAAATACACCTAAGTGTATTTTGTCTGTGTCACAGGTGGAAGAGGGCAGTAAGGCTGCGACCGTGAGACTGCAGGTTGGAGATGAACTCATCAACATCAACAACATTTCTCTCACTGGCTTCAGACAAGAGGCCATCTGTCTAGTCAAAAGCTCCTACAAGACTCTCAGCCTGGTGGTCAAAAGGTAATTTGTCCACAGCCTCACTCATTTTTTGGGTCCTGTTCTTTTGGAATTATACATTAAAGGATTAGTTAACCCAAAAATGTAATCTATGTTATTAATTACTCACCCTCATTCCAATCCAGTCCCTTGAGACCTTTGTTCATCTTCAGAACACAAAGTAAGATATTTTAGATGCCACGTCCTCCATAAATAGCAATGGTCTTGAAGTTCAAAGTCTAGAAAGTGAACTAAAAAATTTTGTCAGAACATTCCATGTAACTTCAAAGGTTCAACCATAATCACATGTAACTCTAAGAACACTTTGTATCTGTGTTTGCCTTGTCTTCTGCATCAGATCAGGATGCAAGTTTACCACAGCCGATACAATGCATGTGTTTTATGCTGTTGACTCTAATGGAAATACGTCGTATTGCCATAGGAAACCTGCACCAAGACCTGACAAAAGGAGAGATGATAGGGGTGAACAAAGACATGTTTACAGTTCTTCTTGCCACACAGAAGTTTTGTATGATTAAAGTTGAACCACTGAAGTCACATGGAATGTTCTGACAATGTTTTTTTTTTTTTTTTGTGGGGACCATTGGAGTGTATAAAGGATGAGGGAACTCTCGGATTTTAGCTAAAATATCTTATTTGTGTTCTGAAGATGAACAAAAAACTTGGATAAAAGGATTGTAAAACATGAGGGTGAGTAATTTACAACAGAATTTTCATTTTTGTGTGAACTACTAACCCTCAAACTGTTTTCATTTAAAGTTAGTGCTGGGTGATATTTCCACAAAAAAAAATTTACTCAAAAAAAATGCAACATTTGTTCTTATCTTTCATTTTTGATAAACATAATATATGTCAAATTGCTATTTCTTTCAAGTTTAAAGGCAGACTTTTTTATCTTAAGTTGTAGAAAAACAGACAGGGATAGTTTACCTAAAAATTATAATTTACTTACTTTTTACTCTCCTTCAAGTGGTTTCAAACCTTTTTGAGTTTCTTTATTCTGTTGAACATTAGTGAATATATTTTGAAGAAAGCTGAAAACCTGTAACCATCGACTTCCATGTAGGAAAAACAAATAATCTGAACGTCAGTGGCTACAGACTCTCAGCTTTCCTCAAAATATTTTCTTTTTGGGTTTAACAGAAAAAAGTCAAAGTGTTGGAAACAAGTAAAGGGTGACTAAACTATGACAGATTTTTAGGTTGTTGGTGAACTATACCTTCGATATAACTTTCTGAAAATATCTTTGACATGTATATATGTGTATATATTTGACAGACAGACAGACAGACAGACAGACAGACAGACAGACAGACAGACAGACAGACAGACAGATGGATGAATGGATGGATGGATGGATGGATGGATGGATGGATAGAATATATATAGAATATAATGATAGTATATTTTATAGTTCTGACACAATACAGTAGTGTAGTTATTAGTTATCGGTACAAGAGTAAATCCACTGTAAATCCATGGAATAGCTTTCTAATGTGTTCTATGCACAAAACTCAAGTGCTGCTTTTTGGTGCTAGTTGTGGGATTGATTCGAGACCTATCCGCATATAAACAAACCTAACCTCAGTGTGGCATAAAATGGGCAGCATGTCATTTAGTTTCACTTTGAAGCAAACATTGTTGAATATTTATTGATACCGTTCATTTTAAAGGAGAAACATTAGGTACGTTTACATGAACACCAATAATCTGATTTTAAAACTATTAAAAAGACAAAAACTTTGATAAACAGACTATCATGTAAACCGATTTTTGATTAATCCGATTAAGTTTATAATCGAACTAAACAGAAATTAAATTAAGACATGTGGAGTATGCCGATTTTAGTGCCCATTTTGAAGTGCAGTAAAGACATGTAAACACCTTAATCAAACTATTAACATCGTGTAGGATTTTTGCTGCATTTTGTGAGAGGATATTTTATACACACACGGCTGTTTAACACTATTCTCTGCACCTGCCGACCACAGACACCTGCATCGCAAAATGCAGAGGTTTTTTTTTCTCCTATGTGTCGTGTTAAAACAACACCCTTCCAGCAGTTCATACTCGCATCCAATATCTCGTTTGTCATGGGGGCATGTATGAAATGTTCCTAAATGAAAGTAAAAGTGCCAAACTGCTTGAAAGGAACATGAAAGGAACATTCAAAAAGGAACTCATGTAAACACCTCAATCAAATTATCTTATTCAGATTAAGGCAAATAATTTGGTTACTGCTGTCCATGTAAACATAGTCATTGTGACAGTTATTGTTATCTTTTTATCACCCAGCCCTGTACTTGAAATGAACACAAAAACAGATTTGCAGATTTGCTGGTTTTGTAAAGTCACCCTACATACGTCACTCATTACGTCAGTTTGTTTTTGCACATTGGCAAACAAGTACTGGAAGATGACAGACTGTTGCTTCTAAATATGCACCCTAATTTGAATCTCACTGCAGATGGGACATTTTGAGCAGAATGCCCAGTTATTTTAATCAAGCCCTTGTTGTTAACTTTGTAATTGGCAATGCTTTGCATCACTCTGCTCATTGAATGATCGGCAGGTGATCAGGGTGAAACCGCATGTATTTTCACAACAAATATAATGCGATTGCATCCATATTATTCCAGAATGTTGTCACAAAGGTTACATTCCATTGTCAGTGGCTCATCCTTATGCTCTTATAATTGTGTATGAGAACTTTGAACGAATAAAGGGCGTAGAAATGCACTTCTATGTCATCTTGTGCCATCTGTATCACAAATTAAACATGTAAATGTTAAATTTGTCAAAACTGATTAATAAAAATTATAAGGCACTTAATAAATGTTTGATACGTTCATGAAACCAGAAAAAATAATAATTGATTCAAAAATTACAGTTTTAAATCAAAGTGTACGCCTCTTTAGAATGCAGTCTTAATGTTTAGATTATGAAATCTTTGGGATTCTGCTTACACCATCATTCTAAACCGTCCACTTGTCATGATATTGTCAAAAATGCGTTAATAGCAATTTTTTAAAAGTCTATTTTTGTGCTTATTGACTGCTGCTGTACTTGTTAAAAATATTCATGCATTGAATATTTTGAGCTAGATTATTTGTGTTCCCATCAATATTGCATTGCTCTGTTTGGTAGAAAGGGTAGTGAGTCAGTATACGTCACAGGTGGGTAGTGAGTGAGTGTAGCCGTTGGGGATTGGTGTTGTTTGCATCACTAGTTCAGCTGACGCTGTGGGAGCCGTTGAATGCTTGATGGTCCAGTTCTGCCACATTGCTTTCTAACATTTCCAAGCAAACACCAGGAGGTAGAGGAATAGGAAACTACAATAAAACAACAAGTTTCAATTTTATTTTTAGTTTCAGCCATATACTGCATTCTGAAAGGGGTTATTAAATGTATACGGTAGTATATACAGGGTTAATATAGGATTCTGACGGTATGATAACCTTGGATAAAAAAATATCACGGTTTCAAAGTATTGTGATAAATGCTATAAAGTAAGTTCTTTTTTATATATATCTGGGATAAAAACAAACAAAAAAAAAACATCCCAAATGACCACTATATATTTTAATTTAAAAAAACTATATTTTGGAACAGTAAACATGTCAGGGTAAATGATCCACATAAATCATTGACTGCTGTGTTCATTAGTTTTAAAAACACAGATGTCTATACAACTTGAAAAGGCATCTTTAGATATTTTTTTCTTTCCTTTGGATATAAAGTAAGCCACTGCCCTGTTCACTATAGTATGCTGGATGTTGGGTGTAAGTGATTTGTTTTTCAAATGTTTCCTGAATTGTAGGCGGACCAGTAGCTTTGATGTGGTTGGTTCTTTTTTTGCTCGAGAAGCTGTTGCCCTAAAACTATAAATGAATTTTTAAAAAAAACGAAATAAAATAGTCATTTAATAAAATGTACATAAACCGTGGAAACGATATGACTGAAACTTGGTGCGATTTTTAAACCTTGACTTTTCCAAAGCACAGTAAACCTTGAAACCAGATATTGTCCCGTGTTCTATGTTCTATACTATATTTGTAAATACAAATATTGTGGGGGTAAACCTTTGTTTTTTTTTTTGTTTTTTTTCATTAAGTAGTTAATAAAAATTTTCTGTCTTCGGCTTAAAGTGAAAAGTTTGACCTAAAGTTTGAAAAGTATTCAGTGTTTTGTATCATTGAATTTGTTGCTAGTAGTTGTAAATTGTTTGATTAGAATATTTGTACAAAATTATCAAATCAGTGTTCCTATTTAAAAATAAATAAAATCAAAACTATTTTAACTTTGGTATTAAACTCTGGGTTCACAATAGTTTAAAGGTGGAACATGCTGAACATATATAATAAATCTGTAATATAATAATAAAGCATTTTTTACGTTATGCTCTTTGTGGAACATAAAAACACTAAGTTTGTTTATATCAGTACAACTTATTTTAGATCTCGTAACATGGCGCATATTTACAAATATTTATTTTTCTAATTGAAAATGTTCTAATTGACACATGTTTTGTGCTCAACCCTTCCTGATTCTACTGACATAGTCAAAGGCTGACATTAAAGTGAACAGTCGCTGTTTTCACCAACAAGCCTCTCTGAAGTTTCTGTGTAATGCAGTAGATTTGCATGCAGGCTGGAAGTGTTGTTGTCAGCCAGGGCACAGTGCGGGTAGAGAGCGTGTGTCGACTCTGTGATGCAAATGATGTGATCTGGACCTGATTCACATGGTGATTGCTATCAGGTTTTCTCACGACTTCTGTTCTTCTCTAACTTCAAACAGAAAGATGACTTTTTTTCACCTTGAAACTAATGTATGCATATGTTTACAGAAACAGTTACAGCAATGTAATCTTTTAGTGAGAATAACATAATGGATGCTAAATAGTTACAGCTTAGACTTTCTATCATTGAATCATTGTAATTTATGTGCGTCTATATATGTGTGTGTGTGTGTGTGTGTGTGTGTGTGTGTGTGTGTGTGTCTTA